CAATCATGAGAATGATCAATGGCTTAAAAAATTACCTGCTTAAGCCAATATAATTTTTAAGTATTAAATGCTATCCTTGATTAGGAAGTTATTGCTGAAAGATAAAGGTGATGTCTACATAGACTGTTAAAATCAGCTCTACTTGGTGTGGCAGGAAATGTAACTAAAATGTTAGAACAAGATGTTCTGATACTCATCCCCACCTGCTACATCATGTTGAACAACCATCTACTCAAGAAAAATAACTTCACGAGAACTAAGAAATCAGGTGAGAGATTATAGCATGTAAGTGTAACCCAGAAATAACACATTACCCACGTCACCCCTCTTCCAACCCCAGGCAGCATAACCTAACATGGGATCAGCCCCAGTAAAACCAGCACCAGTGCCAGACAGACCCCACCACACACAAACACCAGCCTTAGATTCCAGACAGCTAGCTATGGACTGCCCTAGCATGTCTGGCCCAGTAGCCCCACGTTCCAGGCTTGGCCTGGACTTAGTCTCCTGCCAGACCAATCCCACTGACTTGGGCTCTGGGCCAGCTCCAGGGTCAGGTCAGCCCTAGAAGGCCTGTGTTTCAAAATGGGCCCAGCACCAGATCAACTGTAACAGCCCTAGTCCTCAGGCCAGCAACTGTAAAGTCAGCCTCTAGGCTGGCCCCTGGACTCTAGGCCTTCCCAACACTAGGCCAACCCCTGTGGCCCCAGGATCCGTCTACTCTAAGTTATAGACCAGCCCTAAAACAGAAAGGCATCAATATAGGAAAGGAAGAGTCATCTCTGTAGTTTATAATCTTATTTAAAGAAAACTCTTAAAAACTCCACACACACACCAAAAGAAAAAGAAAAAACTAACAATACCCCAGAACTGATAAATTCAAGATAAATAAATTTAATATATAAAAGTCAATATACAAAAATCAACAGTGCTTACATACACCAACAACAAACTATCTGAAAGCAAAAATCAAGAAACCAATCCCAGCTAAGTGCCGCAGGCTCATGCCTACATTCCTAACTAATTGAAAGGCTGACATCAGGAGGATCATGGTTCAAAGCCAGCCCAGGCAAAAAGTTCTGTGAAACCCCATCTCATGCAATAGCTGGGTATGGTGGTACATACCTGTCATCCCAGCTACAGTGGAAAGCTTAAAATAGGAAATTCACAATCCAGTCCAGCTTGGGAAAAAAAGCAAGACCCTATCTCAAAAATAACCACAGCAAAAAGGGCTGCAGGCATGGCTCAAGCAGTAGCGTGCTTGTCTCACAAGCACAAATCCCTGAGTTCAAACTCCAGTACCATCACACACAAAAAATATATTTACAATAGTTACTAAATAATAAAATATCCAGAAATAAATTCAATCTAGGAGATGAATGAGCTACACTTTGAAATCTATAAAGAATTGATGAAAGCAACTGAGGACACAAATAAATAGAAAAAAAATTCTGTTTATGGATTAGAAGAATTAATACTGTCAAAAATGTCCACACTACTCAAAGAACTGTAATGCAATCCTTACAAAAATTCCACTGGCATTTTTCACACTAACAGGAAAAAAAATTAAAATTTGAATGGAGCCAGGTCCAGTGGCTCACTCCTGTAATCCTAGCCACTGGGAAGCAGAGATCAGGCGAATTGCAGTTTGAAGCCAGCCCCGGGCAAATAGTTCACCAGACCCTATCTCGAAACACCCAACACAAAACAGGTCTGGTTGAGTGGCTCACGCAGTAGAGTGACTGCCTAGCAAACCTAGCATGCATGAGATCCTGAGTTCAAATCTCAGTACTGCCCCCACACACAAAAAAAAAAAAAAAAAAAAGAAAGAAAGAAAGAAAACTTGTATGGAAACACGAAAGACCTCAAATAGCCAAAGCAATCTTGAGCAAAAAGAACAAACCCAGAGGCATTTTAATATATAAATTCAAAATATACTATAAAGTTAGAGTAAGCAAAAAACATGATAATGGCAATATATATATATTGCCATTATATGTCAATGGAACAGAATAGAGACCCCCCCCACAAACAAACACATGCATTAAAGGTTGATTGTTGTTTTAGCAAAGTGCCAAGATCATGTAATGGGAAAGAACAGCCTCTTCAATAAACTGGATATTCACATGTAGAATGCAATTAGACCCTTGTCTTATATCGACTCAAAAGTGATTAAATATTTAAATGCAAAACTTTAAAACTTCAAACTAAAAAATATTAGAAGAGAACAAAGAGGAAAACTTTACTGTGGTGGTCTGGGAAAAGATTATTGTTTTTCTCAACTGACATTATACTTCAACATTAGTTTATTTCTTTTAGATAGCAACCCCAAAACACAGGAAACAAAAGCAAAAATAAGCAAGATTTTATCAAATGAAAAAGCTTCTGCCCAGCAAAAGAAACAATCGACAGAGTAACAAGACAACCTACGAGATAAGAAAACATATTTGCAAACCATACATCTGATAAAGGATTGATGTACAGAATATATAAGGAAACCAATAACAAAAAATCATTTAAAATATGGACAAAGTACTTAATAGACATTCCTTAAAAGAAGGCATACAAATAGCCAAGAGTTACATAAAAAATGCTCATTACTGCCAATCAGGGAAATGCAAAGCAAATCCACAATGAGTTATGACTTCACACATACTAAAATGGTTATTATCAAAAAGACAAAAGATAGAAAGAGTTGGCAAGGATGTGACCAATAGAGAACGTTTGCATTCTTTTGGTGGGAAAATAACTTAGTATAGCTATTATGTAAAACAGCAGTGAGATTCCCCTCCAAAATTAAAAGTAGAACTATTATATGTTCCAGTAGTTCCATTATGAGGCATATATCCAAAGTAATGAAATCAGCGTGTCACAGACTATCTACACTCCTATGTTCATTGTAGCATTTATTCACAATATGCAAGATACAGAATAAACCTAAAATGTTTACCATCAGATGAATGAATATGGAAAATGTGATACATATATACAATGCAATACTATTCAACTTTTAAAGAGAAGGAAAATCTATCATTTGAGACAACATGGAGGAATCTGGAGTATATTATGCTAAGTGAAATAAGCCAGGCACAGAAAGACAAATACTGCATGATCTCACTTGTAGTAGAAAATTAAACAGTCAAACTCATAGAAAAAGAAAGTTCAGAGGGAGAAACAAGGACTATATTGGTCAAAGAGGACAAAGGTTCAGTTAAGATAGGCAGATTAAGTTTCTGAGATCCACTGCACAGCATGTTGACTATAGTTGATAATATGTTCTGTATTTCAAAATCGCTGAAAGAATAGCTCTAGACCTTAATTTTTCTCATCACAAAAAATATTTAAGTGAGATTATGGATATGTTCATTAGCTTAATGTAATCATTCCACAATGTATATACATATACCGAAACATCACATTGTACTCCATAAATCTATACAATTATACCTTGTCAATTAAAATTAAAAATAGAAAAAGTAATTGATCTTTATTCATCTTAAGGTTGAAGTGAGTTTATATTGCAAATTACAACTGATAAGTGCTTCACAGATTTTCTACTTTTCCACCTACTATGCTTAAATAACATTAGACTTTGACAGGTGGTAATGATTTATAAAATTTAAGTCAAAAAAGGGAACAAAACCCAAGGTCCCAGTGAACTGATAATTACAAAGGAAAAACCTCAATTCAGAAGAAATTGTCCTCCAAGAATTGTACCTAGGAATCTGTTCTATACAATACTCACCCAGTTGAAAAAGTGACTCAAGTAAGCACCCAGGGTGTGAGCTGGGGTCACAATTGCAAATGCATTCAGGAACAGCTACTTAATCTGCATGTGTGAAGCAGGGAAGTCTTAAATAGCAGAGCACAGTGAAGACAAGGACTAACTTGCAAAGTATAGGTTTTTGATAAACCTCAACTCTGTGTGTGTGTGTGTGTGTGTGTGTGTGTGTGTGTGTGTGTTGTGTGTGAGTGTGTGTTTACACACTGTGTGCTAAACAAAGACTAGCTGTGGGCCGAGTTCTCTCCTTTGTGATGCCCATTTTAAGCAGATCAAGTTGAATGTTTCTTCTTATATTTCCCTCTACTGAAATTTTTCATTCCTTGACCCAACTAGTTCTAGACAACTCATTATTAACTCTTCCCTTTTATAAGAACAATCAGAGTCCAAATTTCCTGTGTGAAAAGTGAACATATTAATTTACTTCATTTCCTAGGAACTGGAAAAGGGACTTTCAGCAACTGCATCTCATAAAGTGCTACACAAAACAGAGGACACATTTTATGAGATGCTAGCCGTAAGAGCAGGTTGCTGATATAAATCAGGTATAATCAAGATTACCTAAGAAAAAGTGAAATCCTAAATACTAAGAACTGAACTGTAAACCAAAGGATTATCTTGGCTTCATTCTGCAGGTTAAAAAAAATATTAAGTATATGTTGGTCTTATCTTTTAGTCTCTCAAAGAATCACAGTTTTGAATTTAAGTTCACCCAACCATGTTAACAGGAGACAGGATGTTTGCACAATCCAGTTAAATTATGTCATTCATCATTATGAAAGGAAAGTTTGGCTCAAATGATAGGCATATCTTACACAAATACTATGAACAACACAGTTTCAGTTTACTCCTGTAGCCCATAATACAAGTACTAAAACACATGAATAAGAAATTTCCCAACATCAAAATTCTTGATTAATATGAAAAGTTTTTGCTTGTGTATTTCAACATTATGGATTTAAAAGGTCTTTCTCTTCACAGTACATTCAGAATTACAACAGAATTTATGACAGAATTATGCAAGCAAGTCATTAGAAGGATTTTCAAAGCTTGACTACAATTATGTTAAATATGTATCCACATGAACAAAGACTGGTATGTAGTTTTTAAAATGAGCAAAATTACACTGGGCAAGTTGAATTAAGGTAACACTTTCATTTTACAAAGTTGATACAGCATAAATCCAACAAAAATTATTGTTTAAATCTCAGGTACTTACTGTGGTTGGAAAATAACGACTAGTTTTGAATTTTTTCAGAGCCATAGAAGAGGTGTAGGTGCCAAAGAAAAGGATGAAAGACATGAGTGTGATATCAGGAACAAAATCACAGTTGTTCCCCACGAGCTTTCCTCCATATTTCAAACACTCCTTCTTCGACAAATATGCCCAGTCAAAGGTAGCATTACGGTACTGAAGAAGAAAAACATTTGTTGTTTTAGAGACCACTAGTGTATCAAAAGCAACTTTGATACATGATGGGCTATATAGGGATTACACTAGAAGCTTCTTTAAGTGGTTTGAGGATAATCATTAGAGGATGTAACATGATGAGGTATTAGTAGAATAATGGCTAAGGGGGAACAAGAGGCTGGTGAATATTGAAAATACAATGAGAATGATGCAATGTGTTATGCAGTTTTGGCCTACTACCTCACAATCACTCATTTGTTCAAGAGAAAAAACCCACAAAGTCCTTTCCTGCAATCCTTCCTAAAAGTAAACTGAGACACAAAAATGTGAGACTCTGGAACACCTTCATTGTTCAAAAAGTACTTACTTTTGTAATACATAACTTCTTTTGTATCTACCTTATAGTCCTATCTATGCTCTAAAAGTTATAGGAGGCCAACTACTCATGTGGTACTTTTACAAATAGGTGTTTTCTTAACTAATTTAATAGAGTCTGATGACTGAAGAAATTAAACTATAAAAATGTGGATGGTCCCAGCCTTTTCAATTGCAATCCTAATATAGCACAGGTTTTTTCTTGGCTCCAGATCAGCATTCTGAGAATCAATTATTGGAATGGTGATGATGCCTTTGAGGTTGTGGAGCTGTATATGGATATCTAGTCCTGTGTCACATGACCTCAAGCATGCAGGGCAGTTTTCATGTATTGTTGGTATGTTGGCAGGGCTGTTTCTCTCTAGCAACTCACTCTTCTTCCTGTTTCCTGTTTCTAATATATAGGAGAATCCTTTTGCTGGCACAGAAAGTACGACCAGTGTACTCAATTCCAACTGCTTTGAGTATTAGCTGCTATCATTTCACAGCTGGCCTGTGCTTTAGCCACATAAGAGCTACTTTACCTGGAATGTTATACCCTTTGTAGCCAGTTACTGACCAATGCCAACAGTGGGTTTAAATTACCTCCTTTGCCTCAAAGTACAAGCAACCCTATAGCATAATTTATATTGTAGACCACCCCCCATGGAATCAAGCTGATGTTGAACTCCACTGGGGCCATCATTGTTTAACTCTTTCCCCATCCTAAACCGCTTCTGTCGATCTACTTTCAGAGAAGCCCTCTTAACTAATTAAATGCACCTGAAATTCCTATACCAGACTCTGTTTCTAAAACAGCCAATTTACTTCAATTACTGCTCCACTAAAAGTTAACAGCCTCTCAGCCTAAGGAAGTTTTTCTAGAATGAGCATTTGGAGGATACTCACAGATAATTTCATCAGATTCCTCACCCCTAGTATCCAATAGTTCTGAAAGATGTATCTTCTTCTTCTGCCTGACCATTTTTCATGGTGAACAGTTTGTTGGTAGCTCATTCCCTTGCCCAACAAAATTTCTGCACAGCTATTTCTTACATATGAGCCTTCTTGAATACTTACCCTTTAAATGAGTTTCTTTTGCTACACAGAGAGCTTTTTATGTAATCGTGACAACAATGGCTATTTCTTAGAGAGATTTTCGAAATCTTACCTGTCTAAATGAATGCCAATATGGTTGAGTGGAAAGGCTGAGTATCTCAGCTTAGAAACATTCTAAATACCCAAAACTTTTATCCTCTTGGGTATGGGGCTAATAAGTACGCTGGATGTTAACAAAAGAATTATTTGAAAATATCTTGCAAGTAAATGTGGAAAGATAAATTTCTCCTCATTTCCAGGCAAGAGTTCTGTCTCACACCAAACAAATCATCAAGAACTTTTACCATTCAATGAATTCTCTTGAGCTGAGTGATTCAGTTATAAAAGAACTCTGGCTGGAAAGATTTCATGTTTCTATAGAGCTGAAAAGGTTAAGTACTTATGTAAATCAATAAAAAAAAATCCTAGTTCTTAAAATATTTTCCTATATTAATTTCACCTTGTAAACAGCTGAACTGCATGACTGCTCTTATCAAACTCTACTTCAAAGGGTGATTAATCATCTCTCATTTGTTTTTTTAGATTTTTGAATACAGATGCTTTCAGGAGAATATAAAGTTCAGAAGTCATAATAGGTAATAGATTTGCTTTAAAATCAGCAAAAATGTATTCCAAATTCACTTTAGCAATTTAACATCAACAGAGACATAAAATACACTGACTCATTCCCACCAGGTAGTTTTACTGATTTTCTTATAAAGATTCAGGTTGATGGGAAAACTATAGAGATGTACATGAAATGATAAACAGGTTTGCTTGGTTGCATCAACTTAAAACGTCCGTATCAGTACTTTGAAAGTTCCAAGTGATTCTGTGTATCATTATACCAAAATTTAGCCTCCAAACATTAAGGACTTAAGTGTAAAAGCCTTAGGCAGCATGTATACATCTCAGCCTATATTATATTTCAAAACATAAAGTTTCCAACATCCATAAAACTTAAACTGTAGTGGACAAACAATTCTGTTTAAATATCATTGAAAAGACATCTATATTATTTGTGATAATTTCAGAGTAATTGTTTCATACAAGCTGATGGCAATGAAGGTTAACTCCAAAACTTCAGGCAGGATACATTTCATGAAGAAATTGATCCACTACCAACCATGTTCAAACCACCATTGTCTCCTGAGGATTTAATGCTGGAGAGGGTCCTTTACTTCTGCTACTGTCCTTTACCCCTTTATAGGTTATTCTCATGTCCCTTGGGTTTTGATCCTTTATTTCCTATGCAAAATTCTACAGACAGTATGCAAATGGCTGAATCAGAACTTTAAGAACAAGATCAAAGGGAACATAATTTCAGAAGTCCTCTACCTGTTAGAACTTTCATAGTACGTTATCTTTTTCTCTTATGATGCTTAAAACTTTCTATGACAATTATATCTCACCCCCCATAAAGTTTAGTGTTATGGGTTTGGAAACGCTTAGCGAGATGTCTAATGGGTCAGGAGACCTGGATCTAAGAGAGATGTCAAGTTTAAAAATGTCGACTTAGGAGTCACCTGCAAAGAGCTAATCTCAGGAGAACAAAAATTTAGCACAACTACAAAAGAAAAATGTGCTGGGAAAAAAGTGTAAAACATCCAGTATATCCACAATGGAAGTGAAGATACCACAGAAGATTATGAAAGTTGTAAGAGTGATAAGTAGAGTACAATAAGCTAAGAAAAGAGTGGGAGTGAAAAAACTGCAACAGCAATTACAGACTATTTTTCCAAGAAATACAGTAGCAAAGAATACATTAGAATGCAGGAGCATTTCAAGGTCAAAGCAAGTTTGTCAGGACTAGCGAAGACTCAGGAGGTGTTAGTGATGGATGAAAAGAATGCAGTTCTGGAGATGAAGAGGAAAAGAGGTCATGGGAAAAACAAGAATGGAGAAAAAAAGAGAAGGGCAGACAGGTGGGTAGACAGGTACTTAGCAGCTGTTTGGACTGGGGATGGGTAAAAGCTAAAAATGATAAAGTATAGTGCCTGAGGACCAGAGGGACTGTGCATCACTAAAAATTCAAAAGAAGGAAGAGTAGAGTTTAGTTTAGGATATAGCAGACACCAAAGAAATCTTAGTTAACTGAGTGAATGAAATCTTTCATCAGGATATTTGACATATTCAAAGAAGAAATGTATCTGGAAGACAAAATTAAATCAAAATAAACTTTCAATTTAGAATTACCAGGTAAAATATAGAATGGTCAATTACATTTCAATTTAAGTTAAAAAATGAATACTTCAATATATGCATGTCCTATGCAATATTTAAGACATGTTTATACTAAAAATTATTCAATATTTATCTGAAGTTCAGATGTAATTGGGAACCCTACATTTTTATTTACTAAATTTGGCAATGATATTTTATTTAGATGTAGGATTTTTAGTAACAGTAGTCTCCGGGAAAATAGAAAAATGTTGCCAAATGAAAATACAAAATGCACTGAAGGTGGGCATGGTAGGTTTTGCCTATAATCCCAGCTACCTGGGAGGCAGAAGCAGGAGAATCATGAGTTTAAGACCAGCTAGGACAAAGTTAATGAGTCCCTATCTTACAAACAAAAGGGCTGGGGGACACAGCTCAAGTAGTAGAAAACTTGTAAGGCCCTGAGTTCAGTCCCCAGTATGGTAAGAAAGAAGAAAAGGGAAGGAAAAAAAAAAGGAACTAAGGAAGGAAGGAGGGAGAGAGAAAGGGAAGGAGAGAGGGAGGGAAGGAGGAAGTCCAAAGGAGCCTGTTGCATGTGTGAACTAAAATAAGTTTAAAGGGAGTAGTAAAAATTAGAACAATTTTTACAAGTTCCTTTATAGAACTAAATATGCTCATTTAAATATTAATTAAGCACATGTATGGAATTATTGCATTGGAATCTCCTCATATTATTATGTATGCTAATCCAAAAATAAAATAAAACAATTTAAAAGTATGTAAGGCAGTAAAAGAAAATGTGCAAATGAGTGGCATAGAGATTAGGAGATCAGAAAACAGAGTAGTCAAGGTCACTGAGTACAGAGAAAACAGTATTTAAGCTAAGTCCTGAAACAAGTACTGGTCCTGTAGAACTCTCATATTCAAACGGTAGTAAGAAGAGGAGTAGCAGGACCACAAAACTAAGGAATAACAGAAAGAGTAACAAAGCCCACGGATAAGGAAAAACAAGCAACAAACGTTGGGCGTCTACTTCTTAATGTTTTAGCAGAAAGAAAGGAAAAGAATTAGACACCATGAGCACAGATGCTGACATAGGGACACAAAGGTTCATTCACTTACCCAGTAAGTTCTTTAGAAAAGCTTATGACTGCTCACCAGGTGTTGGAGTTACCAGTGAGTGGACCAGATGGGCTGAAGGAGATTGTTTGTACAAAGGGGTAGTGAGAAAAAAGATTAAAAGGAAACAGAACCAGGTTGATGAGGGTCTTAGCTGAGGTCAAGCTGCTGAAAAGAGATTTCAATCTATTTCTGAGACTCTCATTTTCAAGAAAATTACCCTAATTGTATTAAATTAGATTTGCTTATAATTCTTAAAAGTAAAATGTATACTGAAGGACTTGCTTGAAAATTTAAAGTACCACAGCATCATCCCCAAAATTAAAAAATAGGAGATTTATGGAACAGAATGGGCAAAATGTTAACAGTCATTGAGTCTGCCTGATGTGCACATGGGAGTCTATGGTACTGTTCTCTCCATTTGAAAATTTCTATAATATCTTTAGAAGTAAGAACATGTGTATCTTCAAGGAAATTTAAGGGCAGAGTGGTTTTTACACTTGGCTTTCTCAATGGGAGAAAATCACAAAGATGCTATGCATAACAAGAAGATTAATATGACCTTCTATTTCCTTGAAAATGAATGTTAACTCCTAGAATAACCCTGAAGGTACATAAAATCAAACCACTTTTGCTTCCATGTCTGACTGTCAAGCAGAATTTATGTGACTATAATAGTTCTTAGTCCTATGATTAATAGCATCTCCATGTAAACATGATATCCTTCACTATGTGATATAACTATCAAAAATAAATAAATAAAGGTTCTGATTATTCTCCTTGAATATTAGCTGGTAAAATATATAACTTTTAAATATAATTGACAGTGATACTATAAACAAAAGTTTCAGGGCTGGGTTTGCAGGTCAGTGGTAGAGCATGTGCCTAGCATACATAAATTCCTGGGTTCAATCCCCAGCACCAAAAACAAAACAATGCAAACAAAAGCTTCAGGGTTAAACAGTTGATATACTCATTTAGGGTTTTTTCCCATGGTGGAAAAACTAGATTTGCAGTAATCTTTAATCTTACTATATCATCTACAGTATGTTTCAGTTGCAGTTGTTTGTTCTGTATGAAATACCAAAACTAGCTAGTTGTTCCACTTGTGCTTAAGATAATATATTTTTAAAAAGTTGTAAGAGACCATCACTCCCAAGCTACTGGGTAAGCTGTAAAATCATGGTTTTTAAAAAATCCACCAGAGATGAGGATGGAAAGAAATCTAAATGAACTGAACTCAAAAATGCTACAAGCCCTTCAGAAGAGAAGAGACCTATGGCTGCTTCATCCCACAGAGCAGCAGGTCAAAGTGATATCAATGACAGGAAGAAATAAGTTAGCTCTCTAATGAATTTTTAATGGTTGTGTGTAGACTGGAGTGACAGATTAGAATTTGGAGTAGTAGCATTTGTGCTAACCCACCAAACTTTCTCATGGTCTTTGCCAAGTGCATCAGCAATGCATGAAAAACTGGAGGTTGGATAGAAAAGCTGAGAGAAATGCTTCTTAGACAACTGGAACCTCCCCCAAGAGCAAGGAAGCTGTTTTCATAAGATGGGAGGCAGGGAAGCAGAACTGAGAGAAACCCCTCTGAGGCATTCAGCCACTTCTGAATGAATTACAGCATCTGCCCCCTGATGGCTGGGCACAAAGTAGATGAGAAAAGAGAGATCCCCAAGGCTCAGAAAGCTGGGGCATAAAACATGATATAGAGCATTCCATGGGACTTTCTGTAATGATGGAAATATTCTATATCTTGTTTGGACGGTAGTTCCAGAACTGTGACAACTCATTTCAACGACTGCTTCAGAACTGTGCATTTTAAAGGATGCCTCAAATTAAAGAATGCCACAATTAAAGGCTGCCTCAGAAACAAAACAAAAAGGAATCTGATGTGGAAAAACAAATAATAACAGATCCTTTCAATCACCTCCTCAGGAGAGAATGCCACTAGATTTTGAAATCTGGTCTCTTGAGAGCTAGAATCTGGAATGTTCATTGTTCTGAAACACTGTATTAGCTGTGGCTGTTCTCAAAGTTTCTCAAGCACCTTCTATAAAGAATTGTGTTTGCAGGTTAAAGGTAAATACCAACTGAGAAACCTATAGGAAAAGTGACAAAGGTGAAAAGACATAAAGACATATGGTTCCAACAATAAACAGAAATGCTGAAAAACCTGTCTTTTTATCTTGAGGTATAGTAACTCTAGAGTTCTAACCTTGTCTAAATACTCAAATGTCCCCTTTGTCATGCTCTTTCCCCAAAATGAATCCCTTCCACTGGGAAGAAGAGAGCTCGTCTTATGTTAGTGAAGCTGAAGGAAAAAGTCCTTCCCTTCTCTGACAGGAGGTTCTCAGGGCCTTATGAGAGTGAGGCTCACTGGCCTGGGGCTGCATGTCACTTTTAACTGCACCTTCTCTCACAATCTAATCATGGCTGAAAGGGAAAGCAGGAAATTAAGTCATGCTGACTGTGTGTACTAGGAAAGGCTCTGGATAGCATAGCCATAGCCAGCATGGCCCAGAAAAGGGAACTCTGTGCCTGTCAGAAGAAATGGCTTTCAGTTTCTTCTCTCCACTAACTTGAGTCACGGAGGCAGCATGACTTCAGAGCTCACTTACCTTTTTAAGCCTCTGCGTCATTTATGGAACAGAGGCAATATCCAACAACCATTCTATCGTGTTACTGTGAGAATTACAGGCAACCAATGAAAAGAGCCTTGCATCTAATAGGTACTTAATAAATGTTGGTTTATTCTTTTTTTTTCTTTCTTTGTTTTGGCAGTACTGGGATTTAAACTCAGGAACTTCTACTTGCTAAGCAAGCACTCTACCACTTAAGCCATGCCTCCAACCCTTTTTGCTTTAGGTTAGTTTTTCAGATAGGATCTCATGCTTTTGCCCAAGTTGGCCTCAGATTGCAATCCTCCTACTATGCCTCCTGTGTAGCTGGAGTTATAGGCATGTCCCACCACATCCAGATTATTTGCTGGGCTGTTTTTGCCCAGGTTGGCCTCAGACCATGATCCTCCTGATCTCTTCCTCCCAAATAGCTGAGATTACAGGCATGAGCCACTGTACCCTGCCATTAAGGGATAATTATTATTTATAATAATGTCATATTATTCCTTTGATACTAATTTTTGAGTCATTTGCCTGTATCATACATGGCTACTATGAAAGTGTGCATGCCTGTACCAAGTATAATAAAGGTATTATAGGGATGAAGTGGAGAATTGAAGGATAGAATAAAAACTGTCCTTCATAATTACATAGACCCACTCATTTTTCCTCAACTTCTTTTCCTAAAGGTGCTAAATATAGCACCTTAACATTTTAATTAAGGAATGCAACTGATTCACACATCAGGGGTCTGTCACCCTGGAGTAGACAGCATCCAAAGGAACTGAAAGGGGAAGCATTTTTGCAAACACTGAGGCATCAGTGTGAACAATAACACAGACCTTGTGACCACTCAGACTTTGGTTCAAATCTTTGTCCTAATCACTTATGGCTGTGTGACCTATGGCAAATCCTTGTTTACCTTCTGGAGCTTCACTTTCTCTCTGCGAAATGAGGATAATTGTGCCAGATAGTTGTGTTAATGATTATAATACATATCAAGGTTTGTATGATGATAATCTGTATAAAATACCTGGTCTCTCGTATACACTCTATAAATGGCAGGCAAATTGTGACTATCACTATACCTCTGTATCCTCTCTCACAGTCACACTAGAAGCCAACAAGAACTTCCATTTTCTTTCCATGAATGTTATTGCATATCTTATTATAACTACATATTAATTACTGGAGTCTCTTCTAGAACTTCCCCCAAAAACAAGGCTTAAAAACTCATTAACTTTAAAGGATTAGTTAAAAAAAGAATTAAGTTAGGAAACAATGTCTTTTTAAGGCAGTGGAAGTGACATTTTATTGATTTTTATTGCAAATGAACTTATATTTTAATTAATTGCTTTTTAACCACAAAAAAGAATTCTAGCTAAAATTCTTGGAAGTCTAGAAGGAAATGCTTCCCTCTCTATTTTAGGCAAGTTTGGGGGCAATGGGTTGGCTGGCTAACAGACTGAAAATTAAATTCTTCTGTATGTGTTCATTAAAACACATGTGCATACTTTCTCTCACACACAGTATCAAACATGATGGAACTGAGGAGTAGCGTTTGAAGAAAGACACAGAAAAGTCTAATGGTGAGCAAAGAAGTCACAAAAGCCACAAAATATGAAAACAAGAGAAAGAGCACCATGTGAGAGCTGCCAAAGAAGGATTCAAAGCATCATCCTTGAAAAGGGTGTTATGGGCACTGGGTACATAATATCTGCAGAAGTGTTCTGGTCTCCTGAGAGATGGGCACACTATCAATGCAAGGTATTACGCTTTTTGTCTTCATAACTGAGAGATTGATATTCTCTGGTAAGATTCCATATTCAGCACAGAAGGAACACAATGAGAAGCTTGAAACAGCACTTTCTCCTTTTTTCCAATACAAAAGTCTCTTCTACTGTGTGACCTTCCATGCAAAACAGCTCATTTTTAAAGCTTAGTTCCAGTCCCTTAAAGATCCTTGGTTACAAGCCATGGGAAAGGATATCATGTGATGGAGGCACGGTCCTTGCTAAGTGACAAGGGGAAATGTCCTGCTACAATCACCCCTAGTGAAGAGAACACAGTACCATTTGGTTTGTCAGGAGAATTCTTAACTATACGAGAAACAGAAGATACCGGCCGCTCAATTTTCTGCAACTCTCATTCTCCCTTATGAAAATATTTCACTGTCACAATGGGATATAGAAATTAAATTCTTAAAAAGGTTAGAAAAGTATTGCACATAAGCAAATATTGTCTTCAAGGAGGAAAAAAGCTAACTAAGGCAAAGAAAAGTGTTCTTTCCTTCCACTCTCAGTGATTATTAAATACATGTTCATGCTAGGATAGCTGAATGGCAGAAATATTGTATTATTAAAGCATACACATGCAGTCAGTACATAGGTAGTTTGAAATATTTTAAGTCACTTACCACATTAGTAGAAGAAATAGCTGGCAAATCCTTTGGGGCCAGTGCAGTGTCATTAGATATTGTGATATTAACTGTAAGGAAAGAACATTTTTTTTGGCAATAAAAATAAAACAGAAACAAACTAAATGCAAAATTCAGTTTTGTTTGTTTGTTTGTTTTGTTTTTTTTGTGGTTCGGGGTCTGAATTCAGGGTCTTGTGCTTAACAGCAAAGTACACCTCTCGCTCTTTACTTGAGTTTTGCTCAATTTTGGAATACATTTTGATAACTGAAGGCCCTAGATTGTGAACTATTGACCTAAAGGTAGCAGCTGCCTAATCTGAGCACACTAATTACAAATCACAGACAGAATCAAATGGGTCAAAAGATGCTTGGCACAAACAATAAAACAATCCATTCCCAAAGAAAGATGCTAGTAAATTATTAGTACTAAAAACTTCGTTTTTATTACTATCTTGTTCTAAAAAACTTAAAGTATATCTTCTTACATTATTCCATTTGTTCATCCTGATAAAAACATCCTGAAACACATCATAGATATACTTTTATACCCATTTTGTATATTTTACAACACCTTTCTGCATTAAAATAGGAACTAAGGAGCAGAGGGAATGATCTCAAAGGCTCTTTGAGAGCCTTTTTTTTAATAAAATAAGTAATGGATAAAACAGACCAGCAGTTTACTAAAATAGTATTCCAATCTGAACTTTCAGTAACTGCTCTCAGGTTTTAGATACACATCAATTCTGCTCATTTAAATTCCTTTATCTTTTCAGTTTTCCTCTGAGACAAATTAATGAAGCACACAGGCTCTCAAAAAATCCCAGGAGACCAGCATCTAAAGGACAGGAAAAAGTATATAATACTTATCCTGCTTATTTTAATAAGAGCATTTTCAAATGATAGACTTCAAAATAGATATATAAAAAAATACTTCCAGAAATACATATTGGCAGGGTATAGTAAAGTTCATAAATGAGATTACAAGTAAATTTCTTTAGGCTCATGGATGAGAAAATGATCAATTATAACTGGGAGCTTGGTCTACAAAAGCCATCCGTCACCATTTGGATCCAGATACAAACAGTGCAAAAACTTCGACAACCAATTACAGAATGATCCATTTATATAGAATCTGCAATTTCCTGAATTAGGATTCTGGAACGGTCAAATGGAAAAGACAAAACACACTGCACTCTGTCTTCACTATCTGTTCAGTACCATGGCTTATGAAGGAAAGAAACTCTTGGCTCTAGGAATTTGTCTAATTCAGATTTAGCCAATTATCACTGGGACAGTCTCTGTTCACAGGTGATCTTGGGGAGTTTCCATAGGTTGATCATTTTCTGTTACTTCAATTTTCACTTCTTGATCCTCCTTCCCATTCTGATCCTCTGGAATGGAGGAATGTATCTATCTACTTTAAAGCACCTTTGTGACATTTCCATCTTAAATTGGCCTTCCTTTGCTTCCTTCCTTTCTTTCCTTCTGTTTAATAAGAGATCTAGAGAAAGAACAAGGAGATGAAGCATGGCTTCAGCTGTGGGAGCTATGAGTGGATGAAAGAGGGGATATCCACAAGTGCTGTTAAGGGTTCCCCCTGTTTATCCTCTAGTGACCTGGTTCTAGAACTCTCCCTGGCCCCCCTGCTTTACACATTCACAGGAGTTGAACCATCACGTACATGCACGAGCTCACTTGAGGCCATGAGGTCAAATGTGAGCAACAATTGGTCACTGGGGGCAGATCTGTCTGCTTTGATGTATCACCACATCACAATGTACAGAAGGGAGAAATAGGTGGATGGGGCCTAACTTCTGAACATTGTGCCCTCAAACTCCTTTGAGGAAGTGACTTCGCTTTTCTTGACCAGGGGTCCCTCATTTGTGAAGTTAGATTTGAAACCAAGCACCTTATAAGGTTAGTGAGTGTATTAAATAACACAACGTAAGCAAAACTGTTGGCCCAGCATCCACTATCATGTGAGAGCTAAATAAATGTGCTAAGATTACTAGGGCCTCTAAGGCACGGAGAAAGCAGAAATCACTCACAGGGAAGACGTTAGCTACCTGTCAAAGTTTTTGTGATTAATTAAATGCATACAATATTGTGTTATTAAAATATAGTTTACTAAAATCCCCTAGTAAAACATCTGGCATTGTATAGTGTTTATGTCATATCAGTCTAATCTGAATCTGTCTCTTTCATAAGATTTTCAGGTCTAACTAATGTGAAATTAACTTGATGGTTAACTGGCTAATTGTCAAGAAAAACAATAAAGTTTTATGAATCTCTTTAGTGTTTTATTCCATTCTATTTAAGCAACATCTTAAAGATAATGAGTAACTGGAAAATAAATATAGATAAAATTGAATTCATTTCTTTCTACATAGTCATTTCATTTATATAAGGGTCCTGAGTAACTTGAACACATTGCATCTCTTGATAAAGTCAGTATTTATGCTTTAAATCACTAGGCCAATAAAAGGGCAAAAATGGCTTTTGTAGGGATGACAAAGTGAATCAGGAAAACTTTGGAAATGTAGCTGTTAGGGAAATTACCACTCTCTCCCTGCCCTAAATCTTAAACAAAATTAATAGTAAATTTTTGTTTTTTTTATTGTTGTTATTCCTTTAGTTTTGCTAAGTATTTTTACCAAACCTAATGCTTGCTCTGTGACTAGGCAATTTCAAGTTAGAGCTATCTTCAAACCACTGACAGTCTTCAAATTTACCTGGGATGCTATGCTGGAAATTAAAGAGCTGAACTACAATGGAGTTATTAAATTAAATGTATTTATCCATGTTTTCCTCAAAAACTTCTCCTCCATACTCTCCATGTCAGAGAAACTTTTCCAAATTTGTGTTTTATGCAGACCCAAAGCTACAGAATTTTCCAGGTGTGGTCATCCAAATTCACACAAATAAAAATTTTCTGATTTTTATAAGCATTATGCAAAAATCACTCTGTTAGGATCATAAAAGGAAATTAAAATGATGGCTGTTCCAAATATCTATGGTGTTTTAAAGAAAACTTACCATGAATAATAAAACATCAGCTGTGCTAGTAAAGGATGTTTGTTAAGTGCAAACCTGAGAAATGCTACACTAGAATGTGTACTTTTTGATTCTACTACTATTCAGTGATTTAAACCTGCTTCATAAAAAGGGAATAGCTCACACTAAAATTACATGTAATATGGTGCAGTTCATAGAAGATAAATTAAGATTGTATTTTATCTCATTTTCTTTTAATGGGTTTTCTAAGTATAAAACACATATTGACTACGCTACTGGACCACAGGAGACACAAATCAGCAGTTCTTTTCAATGGTTATAACCTAATGGTATATCACATTTATCAGCTAGTAGAAAAATTACATAGAAAGATGTGGTATTGAAATTCCACTTTGATGACAACTGTTTTTAGAACATTTGGAAGTCTCTTCATGCTATGAAAAAATAAACATAGGGATATGGTAGCCCCAGCTACTTCCAATGGCTTGGCTTATTCTTACAGTTTCACACAGGAGAAAGGGAAAAGGCCATCTTTTACTTAGATTATATAGACAGTGCCTGAGAAAGAATTTCCTCCTCTTAATCACTCATTCATTATTAAGCATGTTCTCCCTGGAACAGTCAACAACAAATCAATAAAATATATCCCCCCTGTTAACAATATAGTGTTTATCCCCTGAGGTTATTTTTCTTGATTTTATAATTTATCATTTTTAGCAAGGCTTTATTCTCTTCCAAATACAAAATCCACACCTGGTCAAAAATTGACTTTGACTGTTTCTAAAATATTAATGTACCCTTGAGCATATGGTCACCACAACCTTTACACATTAGGTAAACGAACAGGGATACTAGAGTAGAAATTTATCTCTAAGGTCTGTACCAAATAAAAATTGAACCTCCATTCATTCAAAAATAATTAGTCCTATTTAAGAAACAACACCTTTTACAAAAATCAGTGTGTCAATGTGTGTGCATGTATTCTATTTTATTTCAAGTAGCACAATTCTTAAAAAGCAACAAAATAGATTTGCCAGTAAAAGTTTGCTGATGGACAAAGGAGAAACAAAAAACGGCAGGGGAGACAAAAAAAGATAAGCTGAAGGAAGGATGTCCATGTTCTGTTTCCTATTAACAAAATTCTAGCATTCATGTTTCTCAGTGATGAGTATAGATTCGTCTTAGAAGAACTGAATGTCTTGCTTCTTAAGGCTGTAAAGCCTCTTTTCTATGTGATTAGGTATGGTGTTCAACATTCCTGTAGTCTTGAGTTAGTGGAATAGTATTAAATATTCCAACCACATGCACTGAACTCCTCAACTTCTTTCCCTTAAATACAGTTTCAAGTGTTTCATATTTGTGTACAATAGCTCACTGGTTGGTAATTATTTTGGGGGGGGTTGGCCTGCAATAAAAGCCTATTAGTACCTTTCTCTTGGAAAACTTATAAAAAAATTAAATGTTTGAACCCCTTTAAAGAATACAACTAAAAGATTAAACTGACTAAGGCATCTTCTGTAAGACAGTGAGAAATGTGAAAAAAAGCAGCTTTACTCAGTGTCTATTAGTGCCAAGCAACTGCAGCCTCTAAGAGGAGGCACAATTAGTAATTAGATTATGAAGCAGACAAAGAGATTAACTAATTAGCCTCACTCGTGATCAGTGATCACACAATTAAGTAGTGTCAGGGGTGAAATTCAAACTCCCTTTCCTTTACTCCAAAGCACATTGTGTTTCTGCTTTATCACACTAACAATTGCCCACACCTGGACATTCCTAATGAACTGGGGATATGGGTAGGTATCCTTCAATTGGATATTTTTGATTTCACTTTTGGATTGTGAATTGAATTACCTTCTTTCTTACACACTTCTGCTATGTACTCATCAAGGCAGGATGGGAAATATAACATCTATTACTTCTGCATTAATTAATAGAAATCCTATTTCTAAGGAAAGGGAAATTTAGTGCAGAAACCAGACATCTATCCATGAATGTCAAAGTTCCTGGCTAATTTTCCTTCTTAATTTTTCAGTAAACCTAGACGTAACGACTTGTGCTACCAAACAATAACTGGAACTAAAAGGAATGGAAGAAAGGTGCATGAAGAAGAGGAACATGAGGAAACGAAGAGGTTTTATGGAAGCGAGTGAACAAGAAAGATCAGGAAGGAGCAGAGAAGAACTGCCTTCACAACGGCAAAATTAAAAAGCTATAAATATAGTGTGGGCAAAAAGATATTTTTCTTGGTGATTAGTGACCCCTATTTCCATTTCTGTAAAATCATGTCTCAGTTTGCAGGATCACGGCTCCATCTGTGCAGTTGCTCGTTCACTGTTACATACTGTCTCAGGGTTGAAAAACAAGTCATCCGCCAGTTTAAATATTATTGACTCATTGATTGAATTCTTTTCCTAAGAGTGCATGTTGTGATGAAAGGCCAGTCTTTTGCTGATTTTAGAATATTCACTCAAGCTGTACATGCAACTGTATTATTTTCTCCCTTATATTTTTTAGTGTGCTCTTGAGCAGTCCTAAACTTAAAAGATCTATGCAGTTTGCTACCACAAATATTAAGGAAGTACTAAGGTTGTCTCAAGGCATTAAAGTTATGAAGGAAACACATCATTAATCTTATGGGGCTTTGTGAAACATGAGACTGTTATGAAAATGCAAATATCCATTTGCCCTTTTCCAAACCACAAGCAGGTTTCTCCTGCACAGTTTAAAAAAGGCCTCATGTTCATGTCCGCATCTTTTATGAGTGTCACTCACGTGGACATGCTGGGAGTGCAACCAACCCAGCAATCTGGGTGCAGAATGAGTCGACCGCCCAACAATGTATGTACAGAAGGGAAAATAATGAAGACAAGTTTGATAGCACTATCATTCACACCTAAGGGTTAAATATTAACCCTAAATTTTAATGAATAATCATTCGGCTAACATTTAATTTCCAGAAAATGACCTAGGTACTTTGTATATGTTAGTCTTTTATCTCTTCATTTTTTTTCCTTCAAAAAAAAATTTTTTTTTTTTTTTAGGTGGAGGTAAGGGTGAGACAAGGTCTTGCTGCATAGCCCAGGCTGACTTCAAATTCACAATCTTCCTGGCTCAGCCATCTGACTGAGTTGGGACTACAGACATGTGTCACTATGCCCAGCTTCTTCAAAAACAATTTTATTATTAACCACATTACACAGAAAGTGAGGCTAAGCTACTTGGGAAAGGAAACTTGCCCCACATCACATATTTGGCAACTGCCCACCCAGGACTTAAATACAAGACTTTCTCAATTCAAAGCCCTGCTATTCTGCTTTACTGGTACCATCTAGGGGAGTAGGTGTTATCAGAGTCCTTCTGAGATGACTCCTTAGTTATTTGCAACTGACTTTTTACACAACCTGGGGAAAACAGATCAAAGGAAAAGCTATTCTCTCTGAAGCCTGTACTTGCAATGCATATATAAAATTGATTTAGCCCTCAACAGCATGTTTTTGTTGTTGCTTGTTTGTTTTTTGCCAATACAAAGATCCTTCCTGGAAGGGAAATTACATGAAAAATATTTGCTATATATATTTTAACAATTTGAACACATTTGGATATGTCTTCCTTAGTTTCATACTACCTTCTCTGCCAGCATCCAATTAAAAGAGTGAATGGAAGTTTCCATTAGCCTTAGGGAGGGATGGGGCCAACACCAGGCATATCTTCTGTGAGTGACAGGTGTACTGACAAAGACCTCATCTAGCTTTATGAATACCTTAAACCACAGAACAGTGGGTGGTAACTTTTTTTTCTTTAGAAAATCTTCATAGATGATTACTAAAACTTCCCTAAGAAATCATCTTAGACACTTTTTCATTGACACACACACACATATATAAATATATATGTATAAATGGAAAAGAATATTCAAAATCTCACAAATATGTTTTAAAATCCAATAATTTCAATGTCTAGACTTCACTGAGGGTTCAGGCTGAATGTCTACATGGAGTTTTCCTCCTTCTTTCCCAGGAAGAGCTCCACATGGTTCTCTCTCTATGGGGAACATATTTAATTGATTCTAACAGCAATATCTGTCATGATTGCATGCCTATTCTGTTCCAAGAACTTCAAAATTATGAAATATTTCAAATCAGTATACATAGCACTACTAGGATGTTGTGTCTATGACATTCACGTTCCCTGAGCCTTTAAATTTTCACCTTGCACCTCTTTGCTATACTTTTGAGCATGGGTTTTATTTTTATGTATGTTGATTTTCCTTAAACTACACAAAATGAAACTTGGGGCCCAAGACACTGTTTCTTTTCAGAGGCACTGATTGACCCTGGGGCAGATGCTGTCCTCTCTTCCCTCACCACCCAGATGCATGTCTGTCTCCTCAGACCCCTCCAGCCAGGTGGCAGAAAAGGATGGGTTGCACCCAACATATCTGACAGTGATCTGACATAGCCTCCTACAAGCAGGAAAATTCTACATAGCATTCTGTTTATCTTTTGCACTCATAAGCATTTTGCATCCAGGCTATAATACAACCACAGTTGTTATACTATAAATATGTAAAGAATCCTAAAGTGAAAGGTTTTCACATGAGTGTGCTTCACATTTATGCCAGAGGTTTACACCTCCCAGAATACTGCTGGACATCCGTCCGTGAGGCTTACTCAAAAAATGTGGATGTGGATCCCCATTCAGGGACATCAACCTGTAGCTAATTGTGTAATTGTCATTTAATTGTCTGATACAAACATCTACCCCCTTTTCTCCTAAAGGTCTGAAGAAACTTTCCTTGAAGTAAATCCCTTGTCCAAAGCCTTATATACTAAACATCAATGAGGAATTATTCCAAGAAAAAACTTCAAAGGCCAAGTTGACATGTTTTTATGAAAAATTTCTGATACTGACTCAGTTTTGGTAAGACAGATGTTAAAGTGTTAGGATGTACAGAATCACATTCATCACCTAGAAATTTTATGCCTTTCCTGACTCTAAAATACAAATCCACTTCTAGAACATAATAATGTAGTATGCTTTTTTTCTTTCTTTTTTCTTCCTTTCTTCCCTTCCTTCCTTCCCTCTTTCCTTTCTTTTCCTTTCTTATTTATATTGTCTAGTAGAGATGAAATTATAAAGCTCCATTTTACCATTCAACAACTAATCTAAATTTCTTTTGATTTCATGACTCAAATTATACAAAGTGAATCAGTATCTCATTTTTTTCTCTATAAGCTTAAAATAATTGATTCAAAGTTTACTTAAAGGAATGATTCCCACAGCAAAAAAGAAGCAGTAAATCTGGTCTTTACACCTATTACTGTATGTGCCTGGACCTTCTCACTTACCACATAAAAATAAGAATAATGTACACACTGATATTTTGTAAATCCTGCAGTTTGAGTTAATTTCAAAGGATTAAGCTAGTTATGTTCATACCCCAGAGCTCCTGATTGAATCACGTACTGAAGATACCTCAGACTCCAAATTCAGTATTATGTTGCTCCAAGAAAATAAATTAAGACCCTTTCCAGAGAACCATGATACTATACTGAAAATCTGCAAGCATGGAGCCTATACCTTCCTCCAAACATAGGGCAAATGCAGATGCTAAACAGGATGTCCTCACCTGGGTCAGGTGGCACACAGGCACAGGAAAAGTGAGTATTGTAGCCCACTTTGAAGTCAGAGTTGATGGGGTAGTAATCTGCTAGCTTGATCATTTTCTTGAAAGCATCATAGATAAAGATGAAGCTGATCAGAGAAGAGAAGCCCTCTTCTGTGAAACGAGTGAAGTACTGAACCAAGAAGCTGGCATCTGTGGCTACCAAAATAAGACACAGGAAAGCCGACCACAGGCCGATCCAAAGGCGAAACTCCAAATAATCAAAATTATGGTCCCTGGAAAAAAGAAAGAAAATATTTAGACTCATCCTCCATGAAACACACAATATAAAACTATGTCTACAGAATGACTGCTAAAAATACAAGATCACTTTGCCACTGTATATAAATTCAATTTCATCCAGAAAGTTTTAAGTTTAATGATTTGGTCTCATGATCTTATTATACTAACATAAGAAATTATTCTACAAGTTTTAGAAAAGTATATGGAAAATGCTTTTCATACAATTGACATGTGAATAACTCATTAATTTTCTCATTCAAAAAATATGGTCCTTATATTCACAGATTTTACAGAGTAAACAAGCTGAATGCATAATATTGGTACCTGAACTGCATTTGATAAATGTGAGTTTTTATGGTTAATTAGTATGTTCTTGTGTTCCCAGTCACCACAGTCTACTGAAGGAGACAAACTGATAAACATGATTGCATAACAAAATACTAAGTGACACTGTCATGGGAAAAGGAGTAACTAATTCTGGGAGGGAGGAATGCATGAAGTTGCAGGAAAAAAAGTCAAGGTGTTTGAGGATATGTAGAAACTTTCCACACTGAGTAGGAAGAGTCAGGTGAGGAAGAGGAAAAAGTAGCTCAAAAGGCATGTGGCTTAAGATGGCATGTAATGCTTACCTTGTCTAGAATGCCATCAACAAAAGCAGGTTGCAGAAGAAGGCCATCAGAGTAAGGAAAGCTGCCTTGCCAGGCGACAGCCAGACACCAACAATCTCATGAGAGTATCCGCGGATATTATATCCTTTGCTGAAACTGGGTGTGAAGCTTCTTATCACCACCTTTTCTCTTTCTGTGCTTGTCTCACAGCAGATTTAGAAAGGCTACTACCATTTAAAGCAGCTACTATCTTTCAATGCCCCTCCCATTTTTAAAGAATTAATTGGCTCAAGATTCACAACTAGGAAAAGATGGGTCTAGAATTGACATTTTATGATTTCATACAGATTCTCTTAAGATTATGTGAAGAATATTTTACAATGATTTTTTTTAAGTCATAATTTATGTGTGATGAAAGAGCGGATAGTAACATTTCTTGCCTGGGTACCAAGGATCATGTATGTGTGAAGTTCTTTTGCCTTGGACAATGGGTTTTTGTGCCTTCTAGCAATGTATTTTAACATTTTGAAAAAGGCATCATCCCCACTGTCCCTATCCACCCAGTCTGGGCCACCAAGTCTTTGTGTGATAAGAACTTCTAAACTGTTGTCTTTACTGCTGTCTATTCTTGCCTTGCTGTTTTCTACACCACAAATTTTAAATGCAGATCAGATACTTCAGTTTATAACCTATCAATAACTTCCTACTACACTTAGGAAAAAATTCAGTTCCTAGCACTGGGATACATAATAAAATCCAAATTCTCTACCTAGCACAGTGCCTGGCACATAGACTTTCTGGATGAATGAATGAGTGAATGCATGCCTGACTTGACTGAGATAGAGACTGACCTTGGCCTATGAACCATCATTTATAACTAGGTGATGACTGATCCTGTGCCTGCTGAAAATTATAGAATATTAGAATTAAATTTTTCTTATATACTATGATGGTTATTTTTGTGTCAACTTGGCTACAGGGTCCCCAAATATTTGGTCAAACTTTATTCTGGGTGTTCTGGAAAGATTGTTCTTAGTGTTTTGGGAGAGATTAACATTTAAACTGATGAGATTTGAGTATACCAGATAGTTTCATGTAATGTGGATGGGCCCCATTCTATCAGATAAAGCTTGAATAGAAGAAAAGGCCTGCCCTTTCCAGAGTCAAGAGAGAATTCTCTAGTACACTGTCTTTGAACTTCATCCAGAACATCTACTCTTTCTGGTTCTATAGCAATCAACCTCCTGATGCAAACTGAAATACTAGTTCAGCTGGGTTTCCAGCCTGCCAGCCTGACTTGAAGATTTTGGATTTGCCAGCCTATTAAACCGATGAGCCAACTCTTAGTAACAAATCTCTTTCTGTATATGCATCTCATTGGCTTGCTTTCTCTGGAGAACCCTGATTAATATAGATACCAATTTGTCAGCGATGCCTTATCTTATAGATAAACACCAAAGCCATTGGAAGTTAAGTCATTTATCCAATGTCAAAGTTTTAATGGCAAAGCTGGACTGGAAACTAAATTTCTTGATTCTTGACTGGTCCTTTAAAAAATTACACTCTACATGATTTTCACAGAGCTCAAGATAGGTAGGCATTAATGTTACACTCATTATTTCCCCTCTGATCATTGCATGAATTGCACTACAAGGCCAAAGCAAGAGGTTATTAACACTAAAGTATAAAATGTTATACTTTATACTTTCTAAGAACTTCTGAAGACAGCTTTTCCATTTCCTTGCAGTTCCCTTTATGTCTACAATCCTACTGATTAGTCCTATGTATGTCTTTGTGAGACAAGTGTACCACAGAAAAAGCTGTATTCTAAGAATTTCTGATAATTTACATTATCATACGAGTCACTGTCAGAATAAAAGTTAAAAAGCATTGTTTTATTACTTCTGAGCCAACAGACTTTTTGCTTAAAAATTTAAAACAATTACCTAGTTTTGCTTCCCTGATAACATGAAAGTTAGAGCAATCTTGATTTAGTATAAGAATGCTAGTGGTTATTACAGAATGGATGGCTGCAGGATAATATAAGAAACAAATCCATTAACTAGTTTGGGCAAAAAAGAAAAATGCACATATAAACTTAAATGTTAGAACATAAACACTATACCAAAGTAGCTACTCTAAGAGTCTTTCATACTGTGGGAGTAGTTCAACAGGAATGAATAAAATAAAATCACTTGGTACTTCATTACAAAAGTGATATGTTTAGAACAGCAAGGAGAAAGAAATGAAAGATGAGAAACTTTTAAACAAGCTGATGATCTATAAAGGCTACACGGAACCTATAAAACAAAGACTTACCTATGTCTCCCAATATGGAAAACTATGTTGGGAAAAATCTGAACAAGCAAAATAATAGTTTGTTTATTAAAGGACTGCTCAGGACCTTTAGTGTGCTGAAGTGTACAATTAATTACCCCAAGGGGGCAATTCTCAGACTTATTGGGAACACATAAGTTTTTTTTTTCCATGGATCATCTAATGGACCCAGTAGTGGATGAAACACATGTTGGGAAGTAGTGATTCACAAACATATCCAGACAACATAATGGTGCTGTGCTATAACCAAAGCAAATGAATAAATTTGCAGCATTGTGAATAAAACAATGTTTGCTACATATTACTCAATGATGGATTCAAATATGGTATCTTAAATGTTTCTCATTACTTTACAACTGTTTTCAAACAAATTGCTTGGAACTATGCAGCAATTATGATAAAAGAGAAGAGAAAGTGAGAAAGGAACTTGCTTCATGAAAGGAAATAATCTCTATCCTACAATTATTTCAAGCAAATGAAGACACAAACATTTTCTGTAGATTGAGGCTCTGATCACATTTCATCCAATAAATCTTTCCACAAAAGTTATGCATGTTTGTTCCTGTTTATACTACATGCTTGTTTAATCTTTCCATGAAGGCTTTCTTATCTCACAAAATGTTTTCTTAAACATATAAAAACTGTTTTGACTGTTTCTATAAACTGACATGAATGTTCTTCTCAGAATTATCATGCAGGAGAGATTTGTAATAAAGACCTACGGAAAACTCACAGCATCATTTAAAATTTGGAACTTTAAATCCTTAGAAGATTCTTGCTGATATTCTCCACTCAATTTTTTAAAAACCAGCTTCAAATCCCTATTCTCTCCTCTAATGATCATTTTGATGACACACACAGTTTCAAAGGCCATATATGAGTCCTCAAGTCCATGAAATACTTACTGTGTAGGCACTGACTACTCTAAAATTAAAATCTTAAAAACATATAATAATAAAAGAATATGAATATTTTAACAAGGAGTGCTAGCAAACCAAAGAAATTCTACAATCTAAGGGTTGAGATCTACCAGTAAAGATAATTTTCTCTTAGAAGTTTCAAGTACATTAGAAAGAGAACAGAATGCTCAATTTTTAATCTATTTGTGTGCTGAAATTGCCACTTGTGTAATTCACTTAACTCAGTATTCCTCTTCTGAGAATGATTGATCAATTTCTAAAAGGGAATATTGATATCATTACTGTCATGCCCATTAGCACTGTCTACTGATTTCTTAAGAGACATGGGCTCCAGAGTCAGAACATCTACTGGTGATGTAATATTTGGCAATTTACTTACTTATTCTAGGTCTGCTTTCTCATCTGTAAAACTAAAGACAGTCCCTACCTCATAGGACTGCTACAAGAATTAAATAAGTTAGTGCATGTAAAGTGGTAGGGATAATTCTTGGTACATGATCAGCCTCAGTAAATATCAGTTGTTATTCAGCTGATTCTTGAAAGCAATCTTTAGTGAAGAATATTAGAACTGGAGTTAAGAGTTGTGGACCAAGTAAAGAGTACCCAGTCTCTTTCGCTAATGAATCATGTGACCTTAAACAAATCATTTGATTTATTCATTGTATCAGTTAGGCTCAATGGCAAGAAATGACATTCTTAAATAGGGTTCTGAAAGAAAATAAAATCAATGGGCTATTCACTTAAGTATAGCAAAGAATGGCAATGATAGGCAATAGCAGGAAGCCATTATGAACTCCAGAACTGAAAAGGTCAAGGAAGGAATAGACTTACTAGTGCCCTGGAAGAGCTACAGACATGGTAGACAGGCCACCTGACACAGGCTAAGCCACTGCCAGATTGTTGTGCTAAAGCAGACAGGGGTGTAGAGAGACAGACTACTAGGACCTCTCTCTCTTTTTACTGTCCTACTAGTGCTTCCTGTTAGTGAAACCAGCAGAAAGCCACAGGGCAAAAGAACCAAGGGGTTGTAGTCCTCAGAAGCCAGCCCTGTATGCAAAGGAACCTGGGGACTATAATCTTCAGGAGTCAGCTCCTTAGGGTACAAAGTAGGACAATAGGGAAAGAGAATAATAAGGAAAGGAGCAAGCAGAAAACCCAACAGATGGGCCTAAATTGAACCATATGTAAAATGACTGCCAGACTACACAATTTTTAAGGCCCTATCAATTTTCAAATCTTAGCATCCAGTATTCTTTGATCTACCTAATAGCTATTCAGTGCTTTATCTAGACTAATTGTTCTATAATCAAACACTTGTAATTTATAATTATTTATGTATCTATACATACTTGCTAAAATTAAATAGAAGCCTCTCAAAAACTAAGACAGGTCCTGTGCTGCTCAAAATAGTGAGTGGCTGACCAGCAAAAAGGCAAAAGACAGCTCCAGAGACAGCGGTACCCAGGAAACTTTCCAACACGCCCTAAAAGAAAGAAAACACAGGTGGATAAATGAAACACATTTTTTTCTTCCCACTGTAAATGAAGCTTCATGAGTATGTTACTATGAGGTCTGTAGCAAACATACCAAAAATGAAGAATAAAGACTTACCAATATGAATATTATCACCATTTATTTCACCTATCAACAGTCATTCTTTCCTATTCCAATGGTTGGATTCCTCCACAAAACTATAATGACTGCAATGACTGGTGTATGGAAGGCAAAAGGATGCTCTGATCTTTATTTAAAAATTTATGAGAGGTTCTCTACATAAAACCACATTCTATAATCTCACCAAATGGGAAAACTGACTTGGTACTTTTTATGTGTGTTTCTCTTTGTGGTTATCTCTTTCTCAGTATTTGTTTAAGCCTGACTGCACCTTGTACAGTAGGTACTTTTTAGTAGCTATTATTTTTTGCACAGAGCCATTTTTCCCTACAGAAAAGCTTTTGAGGTCGAAAGAATAGAAATTTCTAAGACACCAGCTGCAAAAATTATTCTCATTATATATTCCTTGTCCAATGTAAACTTACATGAAGGCTTCAATGAATGTTATCTCTACAGGAAATAAATGTGCAGAGACACAAATGGCTAAACTTTTGGGATCACATCTCCTTGTAGTTCTATCTCTAGAAATCACTATTATTTTCCTCACACATTACAAGAGCAAAGAAACACACATCATCAAGCATCACTGACTTACAAAATCACCCTACCTGTCTTAATCATGTCGTTCAGGGTGAATGCCTGTTACAATGACAAACTAACCTATTCCCTACATTTTTCATTGTTTCAAATGTCAGATATGAAACATGTATATTTACAGGAAGGTCTCTTTGTAAACTTAAAATGATATCTTCCCAAGGGATGACTTTTTTTTTTTTTGTAATTGTTGTAGTAGGAGTATACTGTGACATTTATCAAAGTTCTTAATAACATATCAGAGTTGAATTCATCCCCTCCATCATTCTCCTTCATTCCCTTTTTCCCCATTTCTGGAACAGTTTCAATAGGTCTCATTTTTCCATTTTCATACACAAGTACTTAATATTTCCACCATATTCAACCTCCTACACTGCACCCCCCCCACCCACCCGCCAACACACACCAGACAGAAACTGTTTGACCTTCCTGTTCTGGTTTTGAAAAAAAAAAAAGACATTTCTGTTTCTATAAATAACTATACAGGGAGTTTCACTGTGACATTTCCACGTACATATGAATTGTAAACTGAACTGATTAATCCCCTCTATTTTTCTCCTATCTACCTTAGTCCCAAGGAATGTTTTTATTTTGTTTTGTTTTGTTTTGCATTACTGGAATTTGCACTCAGAGCCTTCAACTTGAGCTACTCTACCAGCCCTATTTTTGTGATTTTTTTTTTTTTTTTCTGAGATAGGGTCTTGCAAACTATTTGCTCCAGCTGGCTTTGAACCGTGATCCTCCTGATCTCTGCCTCCTGAGTAGCTAGGATTACAGGCATGAGCCAGTGGCACTTGGCCCAAGGAATCATTTTTAAATGTAATAAATGACAGAAATAGCCAGACATGGTGGCTCACGTTAATCCCTGCTACTTGGAAGGCAGAGGTAAGATCATGGTTCAAGGCCACCCCGGGCAAAAAGTTAGTGAGACCCTATCTCATACATAAAGCTATAAATCTGAACATTAAAATTTGTAAAGTAAACATTCTTCAAATGAATAGATAAGGAAATTCTGTAGCTTCAAAAGACACAATCACATAGGAAATGGTAGATAAACACACAGTGCAGCCAAATTATATGATCTCGGTATCCTCATATGTATGCTCACATAAAAGGTCATAGAAAGATTTTCCTCTTCAATTAAATAGTTCATAGAAGTATCACCTATGTTATACAAAACATTCCTCTCAATCTCAACCATGCCCTGACAATCTCTGGGGAATGGGAGATACCTTCCAGACCTTTTCTGGGTTTTCCAACCCCCTTAGTTAGACTAAGCAATCTTTTTTCACTGTCTCAAAAGTTCTCCAGCAACTGTTCATTCACTTATCATTTTTAAAGAAAATACACAGAAATAATTTTAAAGAAGTTGTTTTTTAAATCAGACTATAACACAGCATTCCCACTGCTTCAGAGCCTGCAACAGTCTCCTCAGAGTAACGTTAGCAATAGCAAGTCTTCTTTTAAGCTTACAATTTGAATCAGAAAACAGATGACATTCTTTTAGAGTAGCACCACAGCAATTAATGCAGTTGGGCTGGGATGGGCAAAAAGGAAGAGTTGACAAGTAAGAAGACTTGTTTCTCTCATAGCAAATAAGCCCACTCTGACACAATCCAGACAGCTCCTGTCCATAGAGAAGCCTAGCAGGAGGGTCTTTTAAGGGATGCCAGTTCCATTGATGTGAGTTCCAACACCTAATTGAATGGTGTCATTTCATTATTTACAGCTACTTCCACTTATTATTCCTTACAGGGATAGAATCTGACTAGCAAGTGAAGCTATCAGAACCAAGATGCATTTATATAGAGAAGACAGAAAGATTCCCCTGTGCCCCACACATAGCATTTGTCTTGATTTCATACATGTTTAAATGTTGTAATTCAGAAAGACTAAATAGAATGCATATGCAACATGGCATAAGAACTTTGGCCTAAATACTTGCCCAATCATATCTCATTCTTGGCAAGAACAGAAGCTATGCCCCAGGCTAAAATTTTCTTAGCCATGCAGTTTTTCACCTCTTGTGCATAGACAGTGAGCTTTTCCTGTCTTTATAATTGATCTTTCTTTTTTTTACAACTTACATGAAAGTTAAGGACTTGAATGCTCCAGGCAGCAGGACAAGCTAACTCTAGGTGAGTATGATAGCAAAAATACTGCATCGTTCTTCATCACACAGAGAAATGTCTATTTCTAATAATTACTGCCGGATCAAAAGATAGCTCAGACTGTGCATAAGGGAGAATATAAAAGAAGAAAAGAAGAGATTTAGGATCCTCTACTTGACTTGACATGCTATTAATCTCTGTGAAGGCAGGAACAGTGTCTTCTGTGTTTCTCCTCCCCTCATACTGTGCACTGTCCCTCCACGTGCTCTCAGGCACTCAGTAAATGCTACAGGAAAAAGACATGCCCAAATGACACCCTAGGTTTACTTATCAAAGGTCAAGTGCTCTTGTTGCACATTCAGTAAAGATAGAAACCAATTTCTTCCAGAAAATGGCTTTGATTTATGGAAGCCATGTGACTGTTCAAAGACAGATTATTTTTATTTCAGTACTTGATCCTTTGGTAAGTGCTACAGTTTCCATTCTGTGGCTGGCAATTTTGAAACGGAGACAGGTGATTTATTATACACATTGCACTGGAAACTTGCTTAAACTTAGAGATGCTTCCAGTGTTTCTGAGAAAAGAACTATTTCTATCACATTCGGCCACATTCTTCTTCAAAATACAGAATTTTTAAAACTAATCTCATGCCATGAATAACTTTAATGTAAATAGTAACTTATAAGGCAAACTATAATTGATTTATTATATTCAGTGCTCACTGATATAAAAAAGGAAAGCACTACGTGAATGTATGTATTATTGATAGCCGTAAGTCATCAAGACACTTCTATACCTGATTTCTCAGAGAAGCAGTCTCCCTAGCAATTCACAAGAGTATACAAGATTGAACTCTGAGGTGTGGCACAATCAGGAGCCACAAAATGCTCAGGTCCTTTTTGGTTGGGCTCTACTTTATTCTACTTCTGCCCAGTGAAGCCTACTGTGGACTTTATGCAAGTTTCTTAATCTCCCTATGCCTGATACAGTTGATTTATGCACATTAATGTATGTGATATGCTTAGCTGGTCGCTGATGGATGAAATCTTTTTGAATAATAGCAGCCAAACACAGTTTTTTAGATATAAGATGAAAAAGTTGGACTAGATGATCTCCAAGATCTCTCCAAGGTAGGTCAGCACAAAGAGCTGTCTTGGAATCATGGTTATCTAAGTTAAATCTTGGCTCTATGAGTTATCCCTCTCAATCTAAATTCTCTCTTCTGTGAAATCAATGGCTACATTATAGGATAATTATTTGGATTAATTTAAACAATATTCAATGAAGAGTGTTGAATAAAGCCTAGCACAAAGAAGAGATACAATGTAACATTAGTTTTCTTTTCTTTGCCTTTTCTCATCCTCCTTCAAGAGAGGAAGGAGATGAAGACAAAGTCCAAAGGGGTGGCATGAAAAGATGAAAAATTGTCCTTTGAGAAAAGGTGAGGTCAGGAAGAGAGGTCTTTAGAGCTTGCAGTATCTCCCAGATCAAATTCTAAATTAATGGAGGCCTTGAGGCAACACTACAGCCATCAAGAGTTTCTTTTTTCATTAAAATCTTTGGTAATAAACAAAACAGTTTTATTTTAGAGCAGTGACATCAAAAATCCACATGTAAAACAATTTGTGTATACGTTTCTGAAGATAGAAAATTAAATCAAAGATGGCCCCTGTTTTTCAAAACAGCCAAGAAAATTAGGACAAGTTCTAAAATAGTAAAATCAGGCATAAAAGAAATCAGAACATAGTGAGATTCTAAAAATATTAAAACCCAACCATAATTTGTAATACCAGCATTTCACATCTTTAAGCTACTTGTGACAAGGACTGCAAGGCCACCATTTCCTGTTATGGCTAATGCAAAGCAAGCACACTCGAGAACAGAGCACTAAAATTTTAAAATGTATGCTGTCAACTTCATTGCAATTTATTTCTACATAACCCCACAGAATGACTTTTGTTATTTCATGTTCTTTTTATTAAGGACCTTATTGTTTGGATTAAAAGTTGCACCCTATGTAGGGAGGCTGGGTGGCAATAATATGCAGGGATTAAAAAGTAAAAGCTATGAAGAAAGTGGCATAATTGCCCAAGAGGGAAAAAAAGATTTTCTGTTTCTTTGACAATTTGTCACCCAGTAAAACTTGGAAAATAAATTATTTCA